TTCACAAGTAATCGACAGATAAAGGAAAATTTACAAAATGTATTATTTTCAAATTGTTCAAATGAGTTATGACTTTAAAACATCTATAACTGAACTCTGCTATAATCAAAACTTGGAACTCGTACTGTATGCTATTTACACCGGAAACATATCTAATGTAACCGCAATCTACATTATCCCTTTCAGTTTTTGTTTTTTTTTTTTTGGTGTCTGAAAAATTCTTAAACATTCTATATCGTTAGACCATATAATTTATATACCTACGTATATGTGTATGTATATCGGTGGTTTAAAACTCAAACACATCAGGTGTAAAGGATAAACTAATTTATCCAGAAATTGGGTTTGGTCAGTACTATATACAGAACTATACCTGTGACATAAGAGCACACTGTCAATGTTCGACCCAAATTTATCATCTAAGGCATAGATAACATATAACGCGATCAATGTTCATGTAGATAACATACACTGTGAATTCCGAAAACATATATGCCTTTTCTAATTGTTGAAAAATTATTCAAATGTTCTGATAATATTTTTGGGCTTTTTATAGGAATTTACATTTAGTTTTTTAAGTAGTTTTTCTATGGTAGATACTCTGTGGATAAAAATGTTAAGCCAAACAGAAATGCTTGAAAATTTAATAGGAGGTTTATTACAAGTCGTAATTAATGTCAAAAAAAATATTGAGTNGAATTTACATTTAGTTTTTTAAGTAGTTTTTCTATGGTTGATACTCTGTGGATAAAAATGTTAAGCCAAACAGAAATGCTTGAAAATTTAATAGGAGGTTTATTACAAGTCGTAATTAATGTCAAAAAAAATATTGAGTTTAGTGCAGTATTTTTTTAAATATTTTATGAAATTTTAACAAAAATCATTTTAGCTAGAAGTTAAGTTGATCAAATCTAGTTACTGGTCTTTGCAAATTTATCAATTTTTTTGTTTCAATCATGTATATTTCCAATATAGTTATGATGGACAACTCTGAATTGATTGGACTAAATTAATTTCGAAACTATAGCTTTTTGAAGTACTGATATTATAATGTTACGATAAAAAA